AATCTTCATTTTTGCAGGACTTAATTCTTTGAGAATTTCTGCTTTATGCTAGTGCTATACTGCTTATTTGTTTTAGTTAATTGATTTAATTTAATAGTGTGTAACTCTGCAAGCATATCTGACAGTACATTCTAGTGAAATGATTAAACAATTTTCTTTTCTCTGAAAGACACAGAAAATTAAAAATACCTATTTTCTCGGGTCACTTCATATGAATGAGGGAAAAATCCTCTAATAACAACTTCTGAACTTTCAAGTTCAACAAGAGAATATCACAGTAGGAACAACAATCCACTAATGTGTTGATCTAATCTAAACTTGTGGTTTCAAATTATATGCTAAAATACTGTAGAGACTTCAAGATACAGGAAAATTCTGTTTGTACTTGTAGCTTTAGAATCAGTGAAAAAAGACTCAGGATGGAATGCACATATGCCCCTCTTTATTTTTTTCACATTTTTATTTTAATTTGCTTGTTTCTATTAAAGATTAATTTTAGGAATAAGTTCTTATAAATTTCCTTTGCCACTGCCTTGTTCACTGCTGCTTCAGAACAGCAAAGAAGTCTGGCCAGGGGCTGCTTCCGTGTACGCAGGGGCACTGTTGAGTGAATTCAGGCTAAGTAATCTGGCCTGAAGGTCAGTAACTTCCTTGCCTGTCCCCATCAAATTTCCATGGGCTAAGCACTCAATATTAACTCTTTCTTTATGGCCTCTTTGATAATATATAAAGATACAGTACTCATTCCAAAGTAGACAGTAGACAATGACTCAAAGTCATTTTGCTTATTGAGGGCTGATCTGATTTTTGGACACCTTGGGAATCTTAGTTTCTGAATTTCCAGTAGTGTCATAGTTTTGACATAGTTACCTGTCTGTTCTGTAGTCACTGGTACCTCCTTGACAGCTATTTTGCAGCCACTGTTCTACTTGCTGCAGTGCCCGCTTGTTTCCTGTTCATTCTTAAATGATAAATGAATCTCTGGAGCACTTCAGAAACAATCTCTAGACTAGAATTGTTATTTTTGTAATACTTAATTTAGAAAACCGTCTATAAATTGTCATTGAAAACAGAGTACACAGTGAGGCAGGGTTGTCCACAGATCAAGGGGAAATTAAAAAAAAAAAAAAAGAAGAAGAAAATAAGAATAGACAATTTACTCTTGCGTACATCCCACCATTAGGTTTGTCATATTTTTTTCTCTTTAAAATGACCCAAAATAATAACTACCTATTGCTGCCAGAAATAAGTTCTGGAAAGAATTATGCCATGGTAGTATTAGGGATACTTGGACAATATGATTTGTTCTTAAAAAATATATAATTATGTGAATATTCTTAATTAGCTTTTGTGTAGTACTTTCTGAGATAGTATTTGGTATAAATTTCTTTAAATATAAGCACTCCATAAATATAAGTTTCTTAGGCAGCACTTGAATTAGCTTAACTACAAAAGTATCATCCAGATCAAATCTTTATTGATTACTGTATATCTAGAGTAAAACAATATTCCTATAAAACTATTGCACAGCACACAATAAAGTCCCAGAGAATGAATTCTGAGTTCTTTTTCCAAAATAGTAGCCTGTTCTGCCATGATTTAATATTTTCAACTAGTCTGCACATTGTTGTTCTTTTAACAGGCACAGCCTAGGTGTTGTGAATGGCAATGTTACAAATATTTTTGGATAGCAAACTGTATTGAGAAGGATGTCTTTTTGCATAACTACATGGTTCACAATTTATAGATGAGAAAAATGGTATAAAGTGATTAACTTAAGAGGTGATGAAGAAATAAGCAGCAAAAATATCAGAGGAACAAAATCATGCAGTCTTTAAAAAACAGGGGTGCAACTGTAATTAAAAATACTCTGTTGATTTGGAAGAGAACAGATTAACTTTCAGAAGTCATGAGGCCTCTTTGAAGTTTAACACGAAGAATGAATGAGGTGAAATAGCTAAGTGAGGACAGAGGCAACGTTATAACCAAAGGGGAAAAAAAGCTCAATTACTGAGACAGTCATGTGATCCTATTCTGCATCTTTTAGATGACTAATAGCTTTTTATGTAAAGCAATATAGGAAATGCTGTGCTCAAAGTAACACCGGCTGTATTTGTATTTGAAATACTTCATATAATTTGAAAAAAAAAAAATCCTGAAAGACATTTCATTTTTTTATAGTCCTAGAAGAGTAAATAACCTTAACTTGACTTGAATGTATACCACTGGCAATCATTATGCAGCAGCTAGCATACATGAACTTATTCATGTGCAAGGCAGTGGCTCATGACCCAGTCTGTCACATGTTCAGCACCATCTATGAAGCACTAGGACCTGCATTTTAATACAACATGGGCAAGAGACTGACGAGGTAGGGACAGAAGTTCAGAAGGGAGAGTCTGGAGTGGAGAGGTAGAACGTAATGGAGGAGACAGCAGATATGTAGACTAGCAGGAAGGAAATACAGAAACACGAGCCCCATAATGAGGTATAGCTTTAGGAGGGCCCCGTGACAAGTGAGGACATGCGATAGTGTAGCCCACAGTACTAGCTGATACCTGAATCTGGCTAACATAGAAGACACTGTGATTTCCTAAGAATTACATTTTATCTTTTACCACTGTCTCCCAAGAGAATAGAAACACTACAATACTATGGAATTAAATAAACACAAGAAATAAGCTCTATGTACAAGTGACCTTATAAGCTCAAAATACTCCTGTAGTAAGCAAATCTCTACAGGTCTAGCAAAGGGCATGTCAGGCCCTTGAGCACTGACTCTTCCTAGGAGTTAGGCCAGCTGATACGAGGTGTTGTGAATAAAAAGCCACAGCAAGGACCTTCCCTTTCCTCTCTCTGGAACTGTTTTTAAGCTAAGGCTCTCGCACTTGGCCCCCGTCTGAACTACATTGTAGCTGCTCTGCAGCCAGGTCTGCTTGTGTATCTTGTTGATCTGGCCCTGAGCCTGGCTAGTGCATTTGACTTGCCAGCTTTGATCAGATTTGTACCTCATCACTATGGATTTGTCTGGCTGTTGGTGGCCTATCTGATCCTGGTTACCATCCCTGGACCTAGCCCTAAGTTCCTGACTTGCTTTCCTGGCCTGACCCTGGACTGCAGATCACTGCAGATCTGGCCAAATGGGACTCTGGGCTGTCCCCAGCTGCCACCTCCAAGCATGCCATGCTGCGGGATGGGACCCTGACTGGAGAGGCCTCTGCTGCTCCCAGCACTGTTCCCTTAGGGAGCAACCAACCCTTGCTGCTCCCTCACGGTAAGATAAAACTCTTTGGGGATGACTTAGGTACTTTAGAGACAGTAACACCCAGTTGTTCTCTGTAACTGAGGAGCTTCTCCCTGTAACATTTCTAGCCTGAGGTGCGCTAATGGTGTAGCATTTTATCAAATTCTTTGGTTTTGATGAATCTGATAATGAATTGTATTGTTCTAGTAGTGCAACTTAATGAAAAAGAAGTGGTACAGTTGCAGGTACAATAAGTACCAATCAATCAACATGGGAACAATTTTACCATTTAGCCTTGTAATTATTTATATATCTTAAAAGGGTGGAGAGAGGCTATTAATCTGAGACATCTAAGAGCAGTTCGGGTGTGTGATCTAGCTATGCTACATTCTTTGCATGTTCCATAAAGCTTCTGCTGGATATTCTGATCTTCCCAAATCCCCATGGGCTACAGGGGTGGGATTGGAGTTTCAGATTTTTCTTCATAATCTCGAGGGCTGCATTTCTTCCTGTTCAATGTAATCACACCATGCTCTAATTTCACTCTGGAAACTTCAGAAAAGTCATATGAAGCTACTGGGTGGTCAATGATTAACTATCAGTTTTGAGCTGATTGTTTCTTTGATTTCTGGGAAAACAACAACCTTGGCACACCAGTGAAAAGATGAACTGTGAATTACATGATCAAAATTCATATTAAAAAAAAAGAAAGTTCACCTCATCTAAACTGCCATCACAAGCATGAAGACTTTGATATCTGGCTTTTCTTTTCCTGCTGCGTATTTAGGCAGCGGAGCAGCATGTTGGTGGGGCAAGCCTGGAGGCCTGGGGCTGTGGGGGCACTGTGCAGAGCTGTCTGCCTCGAAGCCCTTCAGTCCTGCATGTGCAGGGGTTTAGGCTGGTGTCCAGCGGTGTGCTGGTGTGGCTGGTGGATAAACATATCTCAGTCACCTTGCAGCTTTACCCCTGAGACTTGTCTGGCAGCTGGTCCCAGTCCCCCCAGCTGCAGCCACCAGCGGCACGTGGCTCTGTCTCAGGGTAGTGGGACAGGCTTCGCAACAAGGCAGTGTGCCACCATGACAGCTCTCTGCTTGTTGCTGTGGGACAGGCAGTGTTGGGAAGTGGGAGAATCCCACCTCAGGCTGCCCCTGGTTCCTCATGGAGAGGTGCCCACTGCTCAGGAAAGGGGCCTGCCCAAGGCAGGGCAGGGCTGGCCTCCCAGGAGGCAGGCTGCACACAAGGGTGTGCAGTGTAGCCATGCTGCATCCTCTGGACATGCTACATGCTGGGGACACCATCAGCAAAATTATCCAGAAAGAGTGCTGGGGAACTGTGAGGAGTACTGCAGCCATAGGGCACTTACAGGGTTTTCCTCCTGCCTTAAACACCCTTGGCAGGAGGTTATGGCCTGAAAAACAGCACACAAGGTCAGCTAGAGATGTAGACATTCAGTCCAGGCAAGAAGGAAGGTATGTTACAGCTAGATGTGCCACAGTTAAACTGTGAAAAATACAGATATAAAAAAAAAAACAGGCCTAAGGCCTTTTCCTGTGTAATTCTTGTGCAAGTGAAGAGCAAAGTAAGTGGAAAAAAATGGGATAAATCTTTAATAAACTAGTGATCTCATGTAAAATACTCAAAATGTTTTCAATCCTTAAATCTGTTTTATTATGTGGTATACTTTTTAGGCCATAAAAGTAATATTGAAACTTTGCTGAGCCTTCATGAAATTTCATGTTGTTTAAATGGCACTTACTTGATTTTCGAGCCTGCTCCATGGTCCAGCAGAGTTTCGTTGTGGCTGTGCTATCCTCGGCATCTTGTCTGTGAGTACATTACTCAGAACCGAAGCATAGAATCTGGGTTAGGAACATGCCTTGTGGACCTAATACTGGAAGAATATGATTTATATTGTAATAAACTTCTGCATACTTCTAAGCCCAGCTGTTTAAGAGCTTTCAAAACAAATTTTCTGGAATTTTACAATTTGTTCTTGAAACATTTCAAATCTAAACAGATGAAAAAAACACGAGATTTTTTTAGATGGGTTTGTTTAACTGCTGCACACCAGAAACTCACCTTAGGCTGTCTGCTTTGACAGCTGCAGTAAATTTGAGGTGGTTGGAAGAGGTCCCCTGGAAAGTCTATGTTGTCACCAGTTTGTTTTGTGGCTTGTTCTGACAGCTAGAAAAGAGGTTGTAGCCAAGTTAGATGAGGGGAGCACTAGTGTCATTACCACCAGTATAATTTTTTGTGAAGGAGCAGCTCCCCTAATTACCACAACACAGCATGACATTGCATTTAATATTACAATACATTTAATCATTGCCCTCTGTGTACATAAGGTACAGCGCAGACATGCAATTTTACTTTTGTTCTCCTCTGACTTATGAAATAAGTTAGAAGAGAATAAATAAGATAAACCACATGGAAGCAAGGTCAGACGAGCAAACAGTCTACTATGGTACCTTCATTTAAGCAGTGTTTTCATAATAGGGATCATGGCAGCTGTCTGGCTAGCTCTATAATACCTCTTTTCTTTATTTTTCAATTATGTTTTGTTCAGCTAAAACAACAAAAACTGACTAGAACCTTCCCCTTTTCTTTTAGAACCTGCTGCTTCCTCGATGCATTTTGAGTTCTTGTAAGTGTTTGGGTTGGAGAAACAAGCATTTTTTAAAATTTGTTTAAGCAATAGTTTTGTATTCACAGTAAGACCTGAAAGTTATAAAGCAGAAAAAATGAAGACTTTGGCAGAACAGTTTATTTCAATGTATTTTGATAAATGTAGTCCTAGCACAGTCTTAAAAAAATAAAGCTGCTACTTTTTATGTATATATATTGTTTCTTGTATTGTACAAATGACCTGAGAACTAGCCAAGTCTCGTTTTGTGTCCCATGATTGAATTTGGTGCCTAAGGAGATTGAAGACTGATAGAAGCTTTTCTCAAATGGGTACTTACAGGACACTGTCATGGGGAAAAGTCTTAAGCACTCTGGACTGCTGTGGGATCACCTGAAGTGCCTGTGCGCTTGCACTGCATGCAGCCTTGGGAAACAGGAGGACGTGCAGGACCACGCAGAGCCACAGAGTTAAGGCCCCGCTGCTGTGAAAGAGATGAGGTGGGATAGCTCTTATCACTGGGGCACCACGGTGGGTTGACAAAGGCTCTTAAGAGAAGACAAGCAGAGAAGACAAGGAGGACAGAGTGCCTGTGCTATCCAGTTGGTGCCAGACCTGCTGAAAGCTCATGGTCAGCATCAGGCGGAGCCCAGCAAGAGGAACATGGGGGTGAGTGTCTGCTAACGGCTGCCTGATTAAGAGGAAATGCACGAAGCCATCTGTATGGACCAATAGAGGAAGTCTCCTTCTGATGACAGGCCTGGTCCTCATGGAGAACTTAAACTACCCAGACATGTGATGGAAGGTCAACATGGAGAGCACAGAGATCCAGCAGACTTCTAGAGTGGTGGTGCTTACAACCTGATACTGAAGCTAGTGCTGCATAACGTCTTCATCTGGACAGTCATCAGTAAGCAGTGGAACAGGATGAGCCTTCATTAAGTTCAGAGGTGACACCAAACTGGAGGAAGCAGTTGATGTACTGGAGAGCAGGCCTGTTATTCATATGAACTGTCCTGGGCAGGAACCAAATGATGTTCAAAAAAGACACAAGCAAAGTCCTGCATCTGAGATGGAATAAGCGTATGCAGCAGTACAGGTTGGAAACTAATTGGCTGGGTAGAAGCCTTGCAAAGAAGACTTAAAAGTGGACAGCAAGCTGCGTTAAGAGTCTCTGCAGTGGAGAAAATGAACTAATTCATGTTCTAGAAGCAATAGAATACTGGCGCTGCTGAGTGCCATAAAAGGAGGAGAGAAAAAGATGAAATTGATTATTCTAGGTTTAGCACACGGTGCAAGGAATGTGCAGCAAATCAGACATGGGACCATATAGACAAAGAGTATATGAAGTGCAGAATATCTGCTTTTTCTATTACATATACGTTCTAGACAGAGTACAATTACATTTTGTGTAACTCATGAAACTCCTTATTTTGTAAGATATAGCTGAATCAATGCAATAGATTATTATTTTTTGATTTGAAATAAAAGAACTGGAAGAAAACTGTAAGTAACCAGGCAATACTTAAACCCATCTGTCTGACTTAGGCAATCACCAGTGCCCAGTTTTGATATCACAGAGCCAGCTGGGCACTTGGAATGTCCATGTTGAGCACACCAACGAATGTAATTCCACCTTGGATTTGGAGCCGCCTTATCCTTCAGCTACACACCAGTGATTGATGCTGCACAGAGCTGTCCCAAGTACAGGAAATCACGTTTGCTCTAGTGGGACTAATCTAGCCTCAGGAATGTGAAATATCACCTGACCTATTTATCGTGACAAGAAGCAGCATAAAGAAAAACTTCACCTAGCAACTATATCAAAGTACCCTGGAAGGGAAACAAGGCATTTTTTACTTCCTGCCCCAGGCTGCAGTAGCCTAGTCGGTGAAAGTTTGCTGTGAATGCTTTCCGGTATTCTTAAGCACACATTACAAGATCTCACTAGCCGCAGGTATGCAGATGTCTATTCTATTTTTTTAAAATACTTTAGTCTAATATGACATTCAGATTGTGGCTACTTGGCTCAGGAGAGAGCCCATATGGATAATACAAGCAAATATAATTAATGATTTTTAAATGAGTCTGTTTATGTTGATACCACTTTGTCTTACAAGCAGATTGATTGCAGCAACCTGCTGCAGCTTTCAGATTTCAGGCAGCATTGTTTTCCATATTCCTGCAATATCCCCTAGTCCTGGAAGGGCAGACAAGGCTCCCACTCTCCTTCCCAGGAAGACAGACAATGACCCTTTGTCACTGGATGGAGATAGATGAACATCCCACTGGTACAGGTGCCACAACTCGTAATCAGCCAATGCTGCATCAAAGGAGACTATTGAGTTCATGCCTAATTTCCCATCATGTTGGATAGAGAACTGATATCTTAACAATAGTAAAAATGTATTAACAGTTAATTTGAGATATGTGGAATGAAACTCTTGTCATTAGTTTATTCCTTTACATAAAACTGCTCTTATACTGGTCTGGTTGTTTGCAAGATCATCCATTATCACAGATTCCATATTAGCATATTTTCTGTCTGCACATACAGGACTTTTGGGGGATGGTGTCATGATATCTTCCATGAGATAAAGTCCTTTTTCCACAGGGAGAAAAAAACTCCACAGGGTCCTGATTTATTGCTTAAACTCTAGAGAAGAAAACTACTGAATATGTGATGTTCTCAACCTTCTGGCAGAAACTGCAAACAGAGAAAGGCAAAGTGGGAACTGTTTTTTATTGGCTATTTAGAATATGATCCCTCTCTTCAAAAATGAATTACATCCTGTAAATTCATTTTATCTTTATTTATAAAAAAGCACCCTTAAACGTATTATAGATACTACTCATGGACAGGTTGGTTTAACAGCTTTGGTATTATTTTAAGATTTTAAACTGCCATGGTTTCAACTCTTACTGCACATCTCTAGACTTCTAAACACAATTTTTCATTGAGGGAAAAAAAAAAACAGCCCCTCTTTGTTAAACAATTCTTGAGCATTGGCACTAAAAGTAATTGTTAAACTATTAAACTGTAAATTGGAGCCATGATGGTAACAATCTCTAAGTAATAACCTTGTGCTGCCATTAAAGACATACTGCATCTGTTGTAGCATAAAGCATTGTAAGACTGCTTGAAATGATATAGATACCTTACTACCTGCTGTTTATAACCTGTCAGTAAGAACAACAATTTAATTATCTAGAACATCTTTTTCTGGCCGATGACTGGTTTCCAAATATTTCTGCTGCTCTTCACCAATTTCTTAGCAAAAAAAAAAAAAAAAAAAGTCTCCTGATTATTCATTATTGTATTGAGTGGAGGTGAACTGGAAGATAGAAAGGTGCAACAACTGTCTTGTCATCATGATGCACAATTCCAGCCTTACCTCTTCATGAATCTTGATGGATTATGGAGAACAGAGCCTAGAGACCTAATCAGCTAAAGGACATGGAGGAGACCCATGCAGTAACTCTCACAGAGACTAACAAAAAACTATGTTAAAGGTGGCAGTAAGCCCTTGCCTGTGGGATCTCAGCTGCACTGATGCAGTTTAGAGAGCTTGAATGAAATTATGTCTTCCTACTAAGAAAAATATTTTCCTATGTCTTTCTTTCAGATATACTCTGAGCCTGGGCTCATAACATCAGTCTTTGGAACAGAACTGCCCAGCAAGAGCAGAAGAGAATTCAGTACCCAGGAACTTGGAGATGGGTGCAAGAGGCTAAAGTTCATTGTTTGGCGACAGAAGAGTGAAAAGGTAAGTTGTTCTGGGACTAATGATATGGTATTGAAAGTCCTTTTGTTTATGAAAGAGTATTAATCTGTGTGTTTAGGTACAGGGAACCTGAAACATAGTCCTATTCCTTTGAACTCCTACTTAAAAAGGCAGGACGCCTAGAGACACCTAGAGAGGATCTATCTACCAAAGTTCAGTCTCTGCAGAAACAGCTCTGACAGCTTGTCTGTGAGTTTTTATTCCTGGAGTGGATTCCTGTGCTATTGAAGTCTGTTGAAGAAGAATCAAAAATTAAGGTTGAGAGAAAAGAAAGGATGTCTCTGAATTTGGGAACTACTTGTGAAAAATAAGATGTTGCTTCATACACATTTTTCTGGGTAACCCTCAGTTGCATACAGTCCACTAAGGCTGGTCTGTGGAGCACCAAGAGATATATCTATATTTGTAACA